CCGGATGACATGTCATAGTCATAAACCGTGTCCGTTTGGATCAACCTGTGTTGAAAACTTGTGCTGCAGGGGAAAGGTTCCTCCAGTTCCATCGGAAAATCCCGGTCTTTGTCCCGCAGTAAGAAATTACTTTGTTTTCCATCTCTTCTCTGGCAAGCGATCAATAACTGATGATTTGAACTAGGCGTATGTCGGTGGAGAGGTACAAATAGCTCTTATGTAAACAGACACATCCGAGTTGATTCGAATGAAAATTTGAGGTAGAGAAAGAAAATAAAGAAAAGCGAACAAACAAAGTTTATTTTCAAAGGGTTACATCGCGTTTTACATTCGACCTTTTCATACTATCATATTTCACACCGAAGATGTACTTTTTATATAAAGCAGACCATGTCCTTACATCACAACGCATAGTATGTATGATAAAAAAAAAAAAAAATACAAAGCATGGATGGCAAATACATATCTACAAATATGCTTGCAAAAAAAAAAAAAAAAAAACGCTCACACAAGGTAGACACACAAGACGCAGACAAACACTAAAGGCAGACCTATAACACAACACAAACTCACCTACACGATTAGTAAATGAGGAATCAGCACATATGTTCCTCATATACTGTTTCATGACAGAATTGCTCTCGAGGAGGCAAAGAAGAATCAGATGCAGAAGAATAAGGAGAAGACGAAGAAGAAGAAGAAGAAGAAGAAGAAGAAGAAGAAGAAGAAGAAGAAGAAGAAGAAGAAGAAGAAGAAGAAGAAGAAGAAGAAGAAGAAGAAGAGAAGAAGAAGAAGAAGAAGAAGAGAAGAAGAAGAAGAAGAAGAGAAGAAGAAGAAGAAGAAGAAGAAAGAAGAAGAAGAAGAAGAAAAAAAAGAGGAGAAGAAGAAGAAGAAGAAGAAGAAGAAGAAGAAGAAGAAGAAGAAGAAGAAGAAGAAGAAGAAGAGAAGAAGAAAAAGAAGAAAAAAGAGGAGGAGGAGGAGAAGAAGAAGTAGAAGAAGAAGAAGAAGAAGAAGAAGAAGAAGAAGAAGAAGAAGAAGAAAAAAGAAGAAAAAGATAAAAAAAAAGAAGAAGAAAAAAGAGGAGGAAAGAAGAAGAAGAAGAAGAAGAAGAAGAAGAAGAGAAGAAGAAGAGAAGAAGAAAGAAGAAGAAGAAGAAGAAGAAGAAGAAGAAGAAGAGAAGAAGAAGAAGAAGAAGAAGAAGAAGAAGAAGAAGAAGAAGAAGAAAAAAGAAGAAGGAGAAGAAGAAGAAGAAGAAGAAGAAAGAAGAAGAAGAAGAAGAGAAGAAGAAGAAGAAGAGAAGAAGAAGAAGAAGAAGAAGAAGAAGAAGAAGAAGAAGAAGAAGAAGAAGAAGAAGAAGAAGAAGAAGAAGAAGAAGAAGAGAAGAAGAAGAAGAAGAAAAAAGAGGAGGAGGAGGAGGAGAAGAAGAAGAAGAAGAAGAAGAAGAAGAAGAAGAAGAAGAAGAAGAAGAAGAAGAAGAAGAAGAAGAAGAAGAAGAAGAAGAAGAGAGAAGAAGAAGAAGAAGAAAAAAGAGGAGGAGAAGAAGAAGAAGAAGAAGAAGAAGAAGAAGAAGAAGAAGAAGAAGAAGAAGAAGAAGAAGAAGAAGAAGAAGAAGAAGAAAAAGAAAAAAAAAGAAGAAGAAGGGAAAGGAGGAAAAGGAGGAGGAAGCCACTGTATACTTGTATCCCAATTTATAATTCAGGAACTGTATGTTCCAACACAGGCTGCTGATGTTAGTTCATGTGGTGGACTGTCTTGTGAAACAGATAACCAGTGTCAACCCAATCAAAAGTGTTGCAGCCTGTCTTGTGGACGAGTATGTACCAATGTTGGTAAGTAAGCCATGACTATATTAGGAATCGCGAGACTCAGTGGTTACCACGCTGGCCTGTAAATACAACGGTCAAGCTTCAAATGCCAGGTAGATAAATACAAAATTTTCCCCCAAACCATTTTGGCCCTGATCACCAGCAGTCCCAAACAACTTGTGGAGCGTGAAGCACTTCGGTTAATCCCACTTAACATGTGATATGTCCTAGTCCTTTTCATAGCTGGTCATGGTATACTATGAAATCTGGATTCCCTAGTATTTAGCGTCTTTAAAAGCAATAGACTCTTGGGTTTAACCCCACTCGGTTATTTATGCTTTTGGGAATGAACGTAAAACCTTCTCGTATTTAAGGAGTTAGGCATATGTTTTCCGAAACACTCAGATCTATTTAGCTACAGGCGATCTAGCAGCACACAGTTTTGATGTGAATTCAATAAGGCTAGGAAGCGTCGACCGTTCATAGCAGTCACTAAGCATAGAGGGTAAAAATCACCTAGTAAAAACCATAAATAGCAAACAAATTCTGGTCTTGGCTTGCAACGACATGCAAATGACATTTAACGACTTTCGCATGGCTCTATGGTCGACCTACTTTTTATTAGGTTCTGGTGTTGGCTTGCAACGACATGCAAATGACATTTAACGACGTTACCACAGCTCTAGTATGGACCTATTTATTTTTATCACAGGGGCTTTCCGTTATCGAAGTGAGCATGCCGTTAGCCTCGCGTTCTGAAGGTCGTGGGTTTGTTTTCACGGAAGTGTCGTTTAGTTCACTAGTAAAGTAAAGGACCCATTTCCACGCCTTTAGGCTATAGGGCATATAGGGCTAGACCAATATTTTTATATTTTATAAATCAGTCGGCACAAAATGGGTAATGTGGTCAGCATCTCGCCGGCCGCCTTTACTTCCTGGGACTGCACTCGATGCCCACTCAAAGCTAAGTGGACCTGGGAGCCAATTTCATTTTTGAAAAAAGTCCGGCTACGCCAGGAAGCGAACCCACGACCTTCCGATCGGCGACTAGCGTCTAACCGCTCTGCCACTGCGAGTCCCTTAGTTCACCAGTGCAGTTCATTATTTAAAAGATCACTAGATAGTACAGCGCTTCTGCATTGTGCCAGGAAGTCTACAGTCGTCTTGCTTTTCTGGAGGGATAATCTATCGGCATAGGATATTACCCAATTCAACGAAGTCGATGATCTCGACTTTTAGGGGTCACGATACGACATTTAAAATATTTAATTTATGACAGTAATATAACTTTCAAAGTGCTTACGCCGTGTGGCGTTAGTAATCTTTGTGCACTGCCTTCTGATTCGAACACTACCATTTATTTCTAATAGAAATAGTCTTCCTATGCTATGAAAACCAAACTGTCTAAAATTGTCTTTTATGGTGCTCTCTGACTCTCTTACCCTGCAACTTTTCCATTGTCACTACGTACGCCAGTTGTTCCCACAACGTCCTATGAGAAGTTAAACTGTCAGCTTCCAATGTAGACTGTCATTTCTCTTCGCGAAATAAAAAAAATAAAAAATTTTGAATACTCTTTCTATAGGTCCATGGTGTTCTCATCATTCATCTATCAAACCACATCTATGTGGATTCTACGTTATTTTGTCACTAAACTGCTGACTGTCAGAGATTAACTTTTGTGCATGGCATTCGCTCTTTATAGCTTACCAGAACTCTTTTCACCAAAAAACTATACCAATCTGCATAGCTTTCTACGAATAGCGTAGAAAAGAACTGAGCCTTGATAGTAAATTAGCTACTCAGATCTCATTCTGATTGGCCATAGATTGGCCATACATTGTTCATGATGTTTAGCCTCATTATAGCTAAGGAAAGTCTTTTCTAATTTCTGCTGTACAATCGTCACTGATTTTACTACTAGTAAAGTATAATTAGGCAAAGAACCCTTCTTCATGCCGTTCAGTCTTATTGGGTATATAGGGCTAGTCATATATTTTATAAATCAATAAGCATACCGTATGTGATGTGATGGCATCACACCGGCTGCCTCTACTTCCCAGGGATCGTACCTGGTACCCACTTAAGGCTGGGTCTTCCTGAGAGCCGCGTTATTTTTGAAGAAAGTCAGGCGCTGCTGCGACTTGAACCCAGGTAATGTGTGGTTGGTGTGCTATATTCATCAGGAAATCCTGTTCCAACAAATCCACTGCAATAATGATAATGATGCTATTAATTTTAAAAAAGTTAACATGTTTATCTAACATGTCTTCTAACAGTTTACCCAGAGTCCACGATCCAGACAACGACTCAATCCACTCCTACATCCACTCCTACGTCCACTCCTACATCCACTCCTACATCCCCTTCTACATCCACTCCTACATCCACTCCTATATCCACTTCTTCACCCACGTCTACATCCACTTCTACATCCACTCCTACATCCATTGGTACATCCACTCCTACATCCACTAATACACCCACTCCTACACCCACTTCTACATCCACTCCTACATTCACTTCTACATTAACTCCTACATCCACCTCTACATCCACCTCTACATCCACCTCTACATCCACTTCTACATCCACTCCTACATCCACTCCAATATCCACTCCTACATCCACTCCTACATCCACTCCTACATCCACTCCTACATCCACCTCTATATCCACTACTACATCGACTCCTACATCCACCTCTACATCCACTCCTACATCGACTCCTACATCCACTCCTACATCCACTCCTACATCTACGTCTACATCCACTTCTGCATCCACTCCTAAATCCACTTCTAAATCCACTCCTACATCCACTCCTACATCCACTCCTAAATCCACTCCTACATCCACTTCTACACCCACTTCTACAACCACACCTACATCCACTCCAAAATCCACTTCTACATCCACTCCTACATCCACTCCTTCATCCACTCCTACATCCACTTCTACATCTACTCCTACATCCACTCCTACATCTACTCCTACATCTACTCCTACATCCACTTCTACATCCATTCCTACATCTACTTCCACATCCACTTCTACATCCACTTCTACATCCACTTCTATATCCACTTCTACATCCACTTCTACATCCACTCCTACATCTACTCCTACATCTACTCCTACATCTACTCCTACATCTACTCCTACATCCACTTTGACATCAACTCCTCCATCTAATCATACATCCACTCCTACATCCACTTCTACATCCACTTCTACATCCACTCCTACATCCACTCCTACATCTACTCCTACATCCACTTCTACATCCACTTCTACATCCACTTCTACATCCACTCCTACATCCACTCCTACATCCACTCCCACATCCACTTCTACATCCACTCCTACATCCACTCCTACATCTACTCCTACATCCACTTCTACATCAACTTCTACATCCACTCCTACATCTACTCCTACATCCACTCCTACATCCACTCCCATATCCACTCCTACATCCACTTCTACATCCACTTCTACATCCACTCCTACATCCACTCCTACATCCACACCCACATCCACTTCTACATCCACTTCTACATTGACTCCTACATCCACTCCCACATCCACTTCTACATCCACTTCAACATCCACTCCTACATCAACTCCTACATCTACTCCTACATCCACTTCTACATCCACGTCTACCTTCTCTCCTACATACACACCTACATCTACTTTTACATCCACATCAGAACCGATACTGCCCTGTTTTTTTGCCAAATGTAGCAGTGGATTTGTCTGCCGCGACATAGTGCGGTGCCTCGATTGCCCTCTGATAGCAAAATGTATTTCTGAAAGGTATCTGGCAAAAGGTAACTGATTTTTCCATAGTAGTGTTACTGTTGCACGTAACACACAATTAATTTTTTTTTTTTGCCTACGCGGCCACGCATCGTATGTATAATGCTAAGCTCGTATTTTTTGTAGACAAGCTGCACTAAATGGGTGATGTGTGCTTCCACATCATGCTTGCTGTCTTGACTTCATAAAGAATTACCGGGTACCTTTTTAAGCTGGGCAGACATGGGAGAGAAAGAAATAATAATAATAATAATAATAATAATAATAATAATAATAATAATAATAATAAAAATAATAATAATAATAATAATAATAATAATAATAACACACACACACTCACACACACATCAAACATAAGCATTATGCGAATTCGAACCCAAGTCCTTGGGCTAACCCTGCAATTTCAATCAATCATTGACAGCTGGCAGGTAGACGAATTATTGGAAAGGACCCATTTGTACTGGTGACTCATCAGGCATATAATTTTGCACATATGTTTAAAGAATATTGGGCAGTCAAACCTTTACTGTTCAAGCAAATCTGTTTTTGATAACATGTTTAGCCTGATACGATAGAGAGCCAAGACCATTTCAGAAATATCATTTCTAAAGTCAAATTGAACCCTAAGACATTCGGACAAGCGGACAAGGGGATAGCCACAGCTCTACCGACAAGTGCATGAATCTGTTGATAGCGATTTAATTCGCATGTCCTAATCATTAACTCTGGACGAACAGGACGTTATCTATTAGAGTACGTCTGAGGCAGAATTTTCACTATGTATGTATGTATGTATGTATGTATGTATGTATGTATGTATGTATGTATGTATGTATGTATGTATGTATGTATGTATGTATGTATGTATGTATGTATGTATGTTATGTATGTATGTATGTATGTATGTATGTATGTATGTATGTATGTATGTATGTATGTATGTATGTATGTATGTATGTATGTATGTATGTATGTATGTATGTATGTATGTATGTATGTATGTATGTATGTATGTATGTATGTATGTATGTATGTATGTATGTATGTATGTATGTATGTATGTATGTATGTATGTATGTATGTATGTATGTATGTATGTATGTATGTATGTATGTATGTATGTATGTATTGTATGTATGTATGTATGTATGTATGTATGTATGGGTCTGTATGTATGTATGTATGTATGTATGTCTGTATGTATGTATGTATGTATGTATGTATGTAATGTATGTATGTATGTATGTATGTATGTATGTATGTATGTATGTATGTATGTATGTATGTATGTATGTATGTATGTATGTATGTATGTATGTAATGTATGTATGTGTCTGTATGTATGTATGTGGTATGTATGTATGTATGTATGTATGTATGTATGTATGTATGTATGTATGTAGTGTATGTATGTCGGTGTATGTATGTATGTATGTATGTATGTATGTCTGTATGTATGTATGTGTATGTATGTATGTGTGTATGTATGTATGTATGTATGTATGTATGTATGTATGTATGTATGTATGTATGTATGTATGTATGTATGTATGTAGTATGTATGTATGTATGTATGTATGTATGTATGTATGTTATGTATGTATGTATGTATGTATGTATGTATGTATATGTATGTATGTATGTATGTATGTATGTATGTATGTATGTATGTATGTATGTATGTATGTATGTATGTATGTATGTATGTTATGTATATGTATGTATGTATGTATGTATGTATGTATGTATGTATGTATGTATGTATGTATGTATGTATGTATGTATGTATGTATGTATGTATGTATGTATGTATGTATGTATGTATGTATGTCTGTATGTATGTATGTATGTATGTATGTGTATGTATGTATGTATGTATGTATGTAGTATGTATGTATGTATGTATGTATGTATGTATGTATGTATGTATGTATGTATGTATGTATGTATGTATGTTATGTATGTATGTATGTATGTATGTATGTATGTATGTATGTATGTATGTATGTATGTATGTATGTATGTATGTTATGTATGTATGTATGTATGTATGTATGTATGTATTGTATATGTATGTATGTATGTATGTATGTATGTATGTATGTATGTAATGTATGTTATGTATGTATGTATGTATGTATGTATGTATGTATGTATGTATGTATGTATGTATGTATGTATGTATGTATGTATGTATGTATGTATGTATGTATGTATGTATGTATGTATGTATGTATGTATGTATGTATGTATGTATGTATGTATGTATGTATGTATGTATGTATGTATGTATGTATGTATGTATGTATGTATGTATGTATGTATGTATGTTAATTATAATTCTCCAATCCCACCCAGCCATTGACAACACATGCAAGTCTGTAGGCTATTCAGTAGCCATTTTGCGGCAGTCATCAAGCCTGCTGAGTAATACGTACGTCCCCCTGTGGTGTTGGGGTGCATCCTCCACATCCACAGCCGTGTGTCCGGCTGGGTCTTTTTGTGTTGACGGGGGACTGTGGAAAATCCAGTGCTGTGCTGTAAAGACGGATCCTGTTCCTTAATATTAAACGGTGAAACACTTTCGATGGTGAGATATTAACGTGTGCTGTTTCTTAACTTTCGTATGTTTTATTAAGTGTCTCTATTTTCTGTACTGTTTGAAGCGGTTATTTATTTCTAGAGCGATTGTAATAAATGAAAAAAGAATGTACTACATTAAATTAAAAAACAGCAATTAAAATAGTAGTCACATTTTCTTTTACCAATACAAATAATATACAACAACAAGAGTGAAAATCATAGTTTTTTTTTTTTTAGGTAAACCCGGAACAGTGTAGAAATATGACGGCAGATAAAGTCTACAACAGTCTTATCCCTTGGGTTCCATAGCAAGGAGAGCGAAAATATTTTATCTCCCCTTACATTCGAATACAGGTTAATTTCTCCTGGGTAGGAAAGTGTGTTGGGGGACGAGCAAGCAGATAGACTGGCTTGTTTTGCACCACTTGGTGGTAATCTTATGCCTGACATGCTAGGTATTAGGGGTGTTCTTTGGGAGCGAGTGAACAGTACGAGCCTTGAATATATAGATTATCAGAGTCTGAAGAGAATAGTGCAGTGGGCAATGACCAGGGATCTAGTCGACATTCAACTCTCAGGGTCAAGTCAAGGTGAGACGGACATACATCAAAGTGCTACCAGTAACAAGCGCCAGGAACTCTCTAGTGGCTGAAGAAGATGGAGACGGAGCGCTTATAGGAGTATCTCGAGAGCCAAGATGTCGGTGTTTAACACAGATCAACGACATCCGAAGCGGCAAATGAGGAGACAAAAAACGTTAACTGCTTGCATCAACAGCGAGCTGCAATTCTAGTGACACATATGACAGCTGCATTATGTCTTTCTTGCGTGAGCGAGCTTTACGATATTTCTAGGACTAATATGGTTTCCTCTACTTTTTCAAATGGGACAAGGAAAGACATTTTGTATTATTTCCACTGGCATAGAAACGAAACATTTTAGAAATTACCCGGCTGCAGTAAAGTTGGCACCACAGCTAACTATCTAATAGTTTGAAAGGTTCTACACAGTTTCCGCACTTTAAAGTGCCTTGGTACTAGCCCCACATGATTATACATAAGTCCACATCTGACAAGCGATGCAGTGTCGCGCGCTCACGTGGGTAAATACACTGATATAGTGAGGGTGTGGGTTTGAATCCTAACAATGCCCACCCACGTGAGAAACTGGACTAATATCTAAGCTATGTTGATCCTAGACAGTCCTGGATAGCCAAGAAAACATCGAGTGGCTCGTTCCATGAAATGAAAGTTGCTGTACTTGTATCCACGGGAGTAGGAGAAGGGATAGTTAGAGATCAAGATAATCCCGCTGAGAAAATATCAAGGTACTCAGTTAACCCCTCCGACTTTTCTCCTCTCCTGGCATTACTTAAAAGCTCCCATCAAGTGATTTAAATATTTGTGAGCTGAAGTAAACTAGTATGCACAAAGACACTTGAACCTAAGTACACAATTTACTCAACTTTTTTTATAAAAGCATGAAGAAGATTTATTGAATAAATCTAACCAAAATTAAATGAGATTGTTTAGGCTAGTAGAGTTGAGATGATGTTGATAATGAAATTATATATTGGAAGGTAACAACCTTTGGACAGTTCTCGGCTTGAGACCCTGCCTATTCTTTTCCAGTTTGTCGACCTCACTGCTTTCAGCAGGTCGTTACACTCAGACGGTTGACAAAGAATGAATGCCTACTAGACTCTGCCCAATGTGGGAACTGGAGAATGAAACCACAATGTCAAAAGTTCTGTCTCAAGCTTATTTTGTTAGCCCAAAAGATGGCATGCTCTGATGGCAGAGTCTCATTTCCAGTTCTAGAGTTCACCCCTTTATAACTTCTATCAAGCTCCTCCTACATTACTCCTAAAATCATTCTCATTCAAGGATATCACAGCTCCTCCCTGTGGGTAAGTCTATTCGCTGTCAGACAGGGCTGTACAACACTTGTTTAAATTCCCACGCTACATTCTCCTAGTTAATCCAGCTGACCAGAGCTAATAAATAACATCACACCTCCCGCCTACTTCATCCTGCCAGGTTGTTTGCTAACAACTCCACCCGACCCTGTAAATTCCACTGCTAGCACTTTCGGCTCACTATGTCAATAGTGACCGTCTGACTTGCCTTCAAGTTAAGTAACCTCAGGGGGAGATAAACACAATTAGCCTGTGTTATCTGCTCCTAAAGGTCTGGCTAGGAGATAAATATCTGACAACTAGGTTTTGGCGAGTGAAATCTCAGTCACATAGTCTGAGCTTGGTCAGTCTTATCTCTGTACCTTACCACTTAACGTCTGGGAAACAGTTTTAGTGTTTGATATCACCAACAGTGCAGAGGAATTAAATGTTTGTTCAGGTCGCCTATTTTGATTAAGGATGTATCAA